GTCAACAAGTAAATTGCTGATTATCTGGACCATCTCACCAATAAGATAGCTACTCTTTATTCCCTCCCATTTTATCCATTTAGGCAGAAAGCCAATGCTGAGTTAAGCCTTTATGATGCTTAACAATCGGCTGCTAACGTCTCATTCTGGACAGTATTTCTTAAATGGCGTCAGGCTTTTCCGAGACTGTTTGTCACACAATACTTAACTTCTTTGGAGTGGGTGGATCTGGAAACATGGACTATTGAAAACATAACTGCTTCCTCCATGAAATTTAAAGAGCCTATTATCACACACACACCCTTTTAGATGTTTGTCTCTTGGGCAAAATCTCATAAAGATAGGCAGGGAGAAAAGAACCCATTACTATTGGGTCAATTCCAACTTATAGTAGGACAGAGTAGATCGGATCCATGAGGTTTCTAAGGGTGTAAATCTCTACAGCTGCAGAAGATGGCTTGATCAGTCTCCTATGGAGCTTCTGGTGGATTCGAACCACCAACCTACTGTGTCATCAAGGATCTCTTAGGGAGAAAATAAGGGGTTATTATATTCAGGAATCTAGTTTTAGTTTTTACATAAAGATGGTGTAGAACCAGGTCAAATTTCCTTATGTTACACATAGGTCACCAAGAGTTAAAACTCCCCGCCTGGCAACTAACAATACTGTTTTCTGCTAATCTTCTACCAACAATCCTATGAACTATTTCAACTCACACCTTTGGTAAAAGAGGGCAGCCATGTTCCTAACTTAGGGTCCTCTGTCCTCACTGAACTATTTATTCTCTAAGCCAGTATCAGCCAACATCTGGGTTGTGATAGTGACGTTATCATCTACTGTGGTCAGAAGGAGGTGAGGAGTGGAAGGCGCCAGATAGCGCATTGCCTCTTGGGAAGGCACTCGAGCAGAGTGTGCTACAGAACCAGAAAGAGCAGGTCCAATTCCAACCATTATCTTAGCTCAGCTTTAAGAAATAAAGCAATTTGTTTAAGCTTTCTAAATTTCAGATTTTTCTCAAGCCAAAAGAGGCAAGACATGATAAAGCAATCCAAACCCCTAGCCATCTATTGATTCTGACTCCTTATAGGTGAATCTCTAAGGAAACCGGTAGCCTCACCTTGACCCTGACGAGCAGCTGGTGACTAATAGACCAATGCTTACCTGACAAGGCTAGCAGGCCTTCTTGGCAAGACACTATACCCATCCCCAAAGCTTGTGAAGAAAATGTATCCAATTAAGATGCATAATAGAGTCCCCATTGTTGAAAGAAATGATCAATGTGAACTGTAATTATTTCAGTCCTATTATCTATCACTTGGTTCCCATGTGACCTCCAGAAAGTCACTAAGCTTTAGTGACCTTCGGCCTGTAAAATGAAACCAATACAAATAACGTCCACTTCACAAAGTTTTGTAAGGATCTGGCGGGATCATCTTGTAAAATGTCAAGCACACTACAAATGTTAGCCACGATTTTATTAGTATTGCCATCTTTATTAGCCTTCCATGATCATTCGAGACAAAAAGTTTGTGGGTAACCGTCCAAGGAAAGTTTGGATCTCAGGTAACAGCCAGGAGATCACAGGAGCGTGTTAATGGCTTCTCCAGGGCATCTCCTAGTTTCCTAATTACCTGTGCGTGCATGGTACGCAGAGTGTAATTAAAGTATATCACAAATTAGGCCCTTCTCACACTTATTCCCCAAGGAAATGGCTAACTCTTCCTTTAGAAAGATAAATTTACTCCGCCAACCTTCGTCATTCAGAAGACCAAGTTACATTTTTTTAATATTCTTACTTTGTCTAGTGTCAATAGGAAAGAATATTTACTCACTACCATTTTCCTTTCAAAAATCTGTCTAGTTGTATACTAGAAACGGTTTCAGCTGCTTTGTTTGTCTTGGATAAGCCATCGAAGTGAAACATTCTTGCTTGGCCCAACGTGGGACAGTTTCATAACCCTTCAAGAAGCGCATGGAAAGTGGGCGCCAGCGCCGCAGCTGCTTCTAGCATGCCTCCACTTGCAGCCTCCACTTGTCACGCGTGGCCAGCATAATTCAATTAAGACAATGAACGAAACAACAGATGCAGCCTAGACCAAGTCCCTGAATGCTTTTATTTTGTCACTGTCATTGTCTGCAACAAAGAAGACCCATGTGCAGAAAGCCTGGGAAGAGAGCCCAATACAAAGCAGACGACATGCAGCTGCTTTTGAATGGCCTCCGCCGTCGAGGGGTGTGCCTGGGCGCCAGGCGACTTGGGGCAGGGTTGGCTACTGGGAGCAGCGTTAGCTTCATGCCAGAGGGTTGCTGTCTGTTGCTTTGTTGCGATGCTGAGGCCGACCCAGAGAAAACACAGGATCCCTCGGCAGATTTCACACCTTGACACTCGGCTTTGAGAGAAAAGAAAACAAATCTCAAAAGCTGATCTTTGGGGTGGGCCCTTTTTTGGCTCCGGCCCTAATCAATTGAACAAAGGAAGCCCAGAAGATAACGAAATGGTTTTTTTTCTAGGACATTGAAATCAGTTAGATTTCAGAGGAAGACTGAGGAATATACACTTCATGTAGCTTTCCCTTCCTTTCCAACACTTAACTCTTGAGCATTTTACTAGTATTAGGTTTATCTAGATTCTTAGAAACATACTTCTGAAAGGGTGCTCCTCTTAAACAGAAGAGAAGGTTAAGTTAAAATTAGTGTATTTTACTTCCTTTCCGTTCATTCAGTGAGTGGTTTGATAGAGAAGTGACACCCTTTATAACAGCTGTGGGTGGACGTGGATGAGCCACATACTATTAGCAGTGTCATTAAGAAAGTGAAGAGAAATATTTCAAGGAGCTTGGGAACACAAGTGATCCATCCATATGCGTCTCTTTCATTTTTCTAAAGAACTCTTTTAAGAAAGTAGAATATAATAAAAAAATGGGAAGATGAGTTTACTGTTGGCTTAACATGTGATGCTGTGTATAGCAACAAATATACTAAGCAGACTTGGTAAAAGCTGTATCATATCTGAAGGGAAAATGCCTGAATTCTGAGCAGATGGCAGTTCAAGCGAGCATATACAAATGTCCAGTTTCATCCCACTCGATTATTGCAATCTCCGCTTGAAGACCAAGAAAGCAAACCCAACTGACATCCAGCTGACCTCACCTCATACTTACCCTACATAAGGTTTTGCATAAATATTTGAATGAGCATTTTCTCCACAATATTTTCTAAACACCATATTATAAACATCTCCCTTCTTTTCAGTTAATATATAACATTGACCGTCAACTTTCAGGGTGGGAAAAATTTTCATGAAAGACTGTGATGACTGTGATGTTTCAGGTAGAGCTGAAAACCGTGCGTGAGAGAGATTGACAAATATGATAAGTCTCATGGGATTAGAAGTATTTCCAGGGAAAGGAATTTCCCTTCCTTCTCAGTATTAAAACCTCTCATTCTTTCATGCCTTGGGTCTCCCTTATGAAGGCTCTCTCTAAGGTCCCTTAGCTTCTAACCACCAGTTTCTCAGAGGGGAAAGAGATGAAACTTTCTAAGAGTTTCAAGCTCAGACACCCAAATGGGGCAGTTCAACCCTGTCCTGTAGGGTCACCATGAGTCAGAATGGACTTGACAGCAGGGAGGTGAGAAAGAAGTGCGTGGGAATTTCAGCCACCATGTGAGAAATCTTGTTATCATTCTTGATAGAAACATGTTCTGCAGAAGAAGGACACTGTGCTTCCTTATGCCAAGTTTCCCACTCCAGCCTTCTAGAACTCTGGCTTAGATGTGAAATCAATAGCAGAAGCTGTGTAAATGCATGCAGATAAATGCCATGTCCTCTTCCATGTTATTTCTCATCCTTGTTTTATGAGTAAAGCTTGCTATTAAAATATTGTAAAGGACAAAATCATCTCCATGGGAAAAGTATAATGACCATTCTACCATCCATCAGAGAGCCCCTTATACTCATCAATTCACTTATTGAATTCATTTTCCCAATATGTATTGAGTCCCTGCCACATCTTGGATATTGTTTTAGGCACTTGGATGGTAATAGTAAACAGACAGAAAAGTCCCGCTCTCAAAGTCTATATGTACTACATATTCCCAACAAAACTCAACATTCCTTGGAATATTGTTGCTGCTGATTTTCTTTCCCTCTAGTGTTGCTTCTTGTTGAGTGATTGGTGGCACCAAACTGAGAGCATTTACTGCAGAGATGGTTACTGTGAAATAGGGATGAATAATTACAAGAAGAACAAATATATACAAAAGCTAATGCTTACTGTGAGTCAGGCCTGTTTCAAATGATTTTACACACGTGATGTATTCCTTAATCGTTTAAAGTTGCTGTGCTGTTTACGGTTGATAGGACTGGAACCCAACTCAACAGCACCTAAAAATAACGTTATCATCCTAATTTTGTAGATAGAGAAGTTGAGGCACAAAGAGATGGTCATTTATCCAGGCTGACGTAGCCAGAACATGCAAAGGCTAAATTGAACCCAACTTAATATGCCATGCCAAAAAAGCAAAGAAGTTTGGAATTTTACATATTTCTAAATCAATATAAAACTTCCTAATCTTCCACTTCTACAACTCTGCCTCTTTCTAAAGGAAAGGAAAAGTTTGTCAAAGAAAACTTTCTGTGCTTCAAAAATTAAGAGTACAAGCTTATACTGGAACAACAGAAGATGATCAAAGAATCGGGCTTTGGCTTTTTTTCCCTTCATTGAAAATGTTATTACAAGACCCAAAGGGAAAACTTCTGGGAGCCCCTTCTTGTCACTGATGAATGCCTCTTCGTGTGATGATCAAAGCAGCCTCATCGCTGGGTCATCAGGAGTCCATAGAGGTAGCCTGGGTAAAGTTTGGCCACAGTATTAACTAAAGGCCAGTGTACATTCTTCTCAGAAACACAAGGGCCTGAGGTTAAGATCCAGTATTAGGTATCAACAATTACATAAAAGTTCATCAAATGAAAGTTAACTTTTTCTCTCTTCTTTAATAGGAAGTACATTTGAAGAACACAAGTAGAGGGAATGCAGGAAACAAGAGCTACAGGATGTAGGAAGACCCCCTGGAGGAGTGAAGAGTGATGTCCCACCTGCAGAATCTTCTGCAGAAGTGATCTGTTCAACATTGGGAAATCTACCAAAAATTACATTTGGTCACATTTCAAAAGACGGGCATTCCCCCCAATGAAATACGCAAGTAAACATTCCAACTGTGGTCTTTAGGAGTGATTGCTCAAAGTTGGCACCTTGCAACGATGGCCCTGGAATTGGTGGATTGTTGTTGACCCTTTATCAATAATGCTCTATAGAGAAATACACTTATATATATATGTATGTATGTATGTGCCTCGATACATGCATATAGTCCCTTCCACTCAAGAGCCACAAATGCATGGATGTTTTACAAATCCAGTTGCACTAATTTTGTCTCTCAATCTTGGCTGTGGGAGCCACCATTAGCAGCCTTGCCTAAGTGGTTTTGTGGGTTTTTTCATTATTTTTTCTTGTTTGCACTTCATTCTACACAACACAGGCTGTTCATTTGATGGTGTTTATAACCTTGTTTGTCTGTATACACTGCCCCACCTTCACTTTTATATTTGCAAATGCTGGCCTCCTGAGTAGCAGCAGCACAAGTATCCAGCAGCACACTCATGTTTAACACACAAGATCCCGTCCGTGGCATTGGTACCCAATATAAGGTGGGTGCATTTTATCTTGGAGACCACACTTTATTTTTCCATATCTTGCTGAAAAAACAAACCAACAAACAAAACAATGGTTGCAACTCTGAGGTCAATTGTTTTTAGGCACATGTTTTAAACACACAAAGTCCCTTAAACTCTAAATGGTTCTTTCGAAGGATGACTTAGTGCGCGACCCAAGGAGTCACCTCTCTTTTTCGTTCTGTCCGTATAGAGCAGTATGTAAATTTAGCATATCGATAATACAGATTACATCAAACAGGATGTTAAACTGTGGTTGTTGGGTACTTTTGTTTGTTTGGGGGGTTTGATTTTTGGGGTTTGTTTCTTTGTTTTGTTTTTGTTTTTTTTTAGTATAATGGTGCTATTTTGTAGTTCGTTATATGAAAGAATCTGGCCAAAACAATAAAAGGTGAAAGCAAAAAGAAGGATGTGCCCTTCTGGACCCAAAGATTCTACCAGGAGGAAGAGTACTGAGACTGATCCATTGGGGAAAGAAGGCAAAATCCCACCCCACCCTACCCTCACCCCAATTTGCCTTCCAAACAAACTTGATGGGAGAATCCAGAGAGGAAGCCGTGAGTGGAAAAAGCATAAGGCTAGACATTCTCACAGCCCTGGTTTCTTTTCCTCACTGAAGAAACCAACATCGACGGCCTCTGCCAGGGACTCGCCACTGTGTGACCTTGGGCAAGTCACTTCACCTCTCTGTGCCTCAGTTTCCTCAACTGCAAAATGGGGGCAATACTTCATCTCCCTACCTCACAGGGGTGGTGTGATGATTAAAAAGATGATGCTCCAGACTTTTATCCTGGGCTGCTCTAAGAACACAATGTCAGAACCCTCGAAGGGCAATTCCACCACCAACCTTTTCTCAGCATAGCTCCAGAAGTGATGAACCAAATACACCCGGCATCTCAGTGCAGCTCCCAAAAGAAATGCAATAACTTTCCAACACAAGTTAGAAACACTTGATATACACTTTGATTTTGAGCTCTGCATTTAAATTTATGAATATAAGTAGAACAGCAAACAAGAAAGATGATGTGGGGGGAACAAAAGGAAATTACTATCGACTAATATCTCTTTTAATATTATAAATGATCATTCTTCGTTTAAAAAAACACACGTCTTCTCTTTAGGCATATACAAACTATAGCCCAATATTTTAAATATTTTAAATCTTGAGGTGATATAGAATAAAAAAAACAAAATTATTTTCTTTCATGATTTCACTGTTATCTTACCCTTTTGTGTATATGTGTATATGTGTAAGACAGAGAGAGAGAGAGAGAGAGAGACATAATATCAAGGGACTTCAAAAAGTTCTTGGAAAAATTCCAAAATTTTTTCATTCCATTTGTTTTCACAAACTTTTTTAAAGCCCCCTCAGGTATGTATGTGTGTGTGTAAAGTTTTATCAGATTAGTTATTTGAGAAACAATACATTCACAATCAGAACATTTCTGCTCGGGGAATAGCCGGGACTTATTATACTCTCTGTAGATGGGTCTTAACCATTCAAATGAAAAGTGTCATGGAGAACATCCAAAGTAAGGATGGGCCCAGAGTAGCTCAGAGAAGTTTTCCCATCTGTGGATCAAGATCTTCTGTTAGAATGAGAAGTCACCCCACCTTCAGCTGTCTTTATCCGCCTTGGAACTACTTGGTAAAGAACACCCAGGCCTGATTACATCATCCAAACACCATCCTTTACATTCTTGGAAAGTGCAAAACCCAAAATGCACATCTTTGCCTTTCCTCCCCAGGAGTCATCTCAAAGTTCAAAGGCCAGAAAAGAGACTTCCTGGGTCTCAGAATGTATGCAAAAGGAAGGCCTTCATGCTCATTCAGCATGTTAACTGCCGAAGCCTGAAGCCTGATTTGAATTGAGTGTCTAGGGCATGCTAGTCATGGTTCTGACCACTACAGACACACCTAAAAGAAACTAAGTATGGTATTTTGGACCTTCCATTGGACAGGCATGAAGAGTCTGTGGAATGAGATGCTTGGCTGCTCCTCCCAGCATGCCATGACTCTTACTTCCTGTTCCCGTGTACACCTCTGTCAAGTCCTGACCTCCAGCACAACATCACAGGCAGAATTCTGACACCTTGTAGGTTTCCTAACAGAGTTGAAGATGGCCAATCCAGGAGTATCTGTGACTTCATTTATTCAGTTAATAATTTTATTCCCAGACAAAAGTCTTTCAGTGAGGAAAGCTTAAACCTGCAAAGACCATGGGACAGGCCTTGTCTTTAGCTGACCCCATGACCCTCTCCGATTGGCTCAAAAATCAACTGAATGAAAGTTGACCACTACATTAATCTACTATCTATTTCCAAAGGAATACAAACTAGAATATAAATTGACATCAACACGCGGAGAGTCAGTTGGTTATTAGATACTACAGCGGCATTGATTGCAAGGAGCACCTAGAATTTCCCAACTCAAAACTCTATCAGCTTCACTTTAGAATTATATTGCTGCAGAATTTTAAACGGAGGCAATTTCTAAATCTTTATAAAAAGAGTTATAAACATTAGTAAGAATGAACTCTAGGAAATATTATTTCCCATTTAATTGACAGTGCTCAGTACCTAGGTCAAATTTCTGTTCCCATCTCCCCAAATAGTATTTCAGTTACTTGAACATTTTAAAGGACATGACAACATGAAGGATCTTTATATTACGATCTACTCTCCTGGAGAGAAGAAAAGTGCCCACCCTACACCCACACCTATACATACATACCCCACACATGTTCAACCTAAGTGTCCAATGAAATAATGAAAAGAAAACTCACTTCCTTCAAAATACTTATAAAAACAAAAACTAGCCTCCCTCAAGAATTCTCCACCTTCTTAGAAGGTCAATGTTTGTATCCGTGAAAACAGGCCAAGCCCTGTGGCTCCAGATGTTCTGTTAGTAGTCTTATGAACTTGGAAAAAGGGTTAGAGTGAAAGATATATCACATCTTGCTTTCTCATTTATTGTTTGGCCAGCTATGACAATGTGGTGCTATTGTTTCTTTAAGAAAGTACTTGACTAAAAAAAAAAGGAAAAAAAAAAAGCATAGACATATTTTTTTAAAGTAATGAAAACAACACTCTATAGGTAGATGGCTTAATAAAATCACATTAGGTCTAGTCACCACTATCTTTCAACTTTTTATAATTCACAAATAAACATACTGTTCACCCAATTGTGAGCTTGGGGTGCTGGGGCAGGAGATGGAAATGTTTAAAAGTTAGAAGGTCCAATATTTTGTTGGCGCTCAAACTCAGTAAAATTAGTGGTATCTGTATCCAATATTATCCAAAGTGAACATTTTGATCAAGAGCATAGGGTATATATAAATCCAACCCACTGCCATCAAGTTGATTTTGACTCATAGCAACCCTTATATAGGGTTTCTAAAGCTGCGATCTTTATTGGAGAAGATTGCCTCACTTTCTCCTTGGGAGTGCCTGGTGGGTTTGAACCACAGACCAAGTGGTTATCATTCCAACACTTAAAATCAGCAACCACAGGGCTCCTTGGAGGATAAATGGAGAGTGGGGAGGGTGAGCGGGGGAAATGGCAGAAACAAAAGATTCAGTTCCTTAGTGATTTCTGTGCTCTCTGCTCTAAAAACAGATAGCATTTGGAGAAAATAAAAAGAAAGAGAAAGAAAAACATATAGATTTACTTGCTAAAAATAGCTTCTGCCACATCCCTCTTGGGTAATTCTTTGGTTTGGGATTTGTAGAAGGTATTCTCTCTTTACCTGCGCATCTCAAGGAGCCATAGCTCTCGTGGAAAGCAATCACTGCTGTCACTAGGGAGTGTTGGGAAGTGCTTCCTTATGAGGTGGAGGGTCTTTCTACTGAGAAGAAGAGAGGAGAACTTAGGAGAAATTGTTGAAAGAGATGGCTAACAATCTGTGAAGATTTTTTTGTTTTGTTTTTTGTTCTTGTTGATTTTGGTTTATATATATATATATATACATATATATATACATACAGTCTTAATGCATAGCTTCATGTTCACAAAACGGCTTGGTTCATTTCTTCTTTTTTATATTGGAATGAGGGATGATAATTGAAACCCATATAGACTCCTCAAAACTATAGGCTAGATAGAAATGTATGTTTGACTTGTTGAAGCTATAATCAGACTATATTTAAAGTGTTTTACTATTTTTAATCTTACAAAAGAGTGTACTAATTTATTAGAGACAGGACCTGGTTGTCTCTCTTCATTAGGGCATCCCTAGTCAAATCACATGGGTGTTTTTATCAGTGCTTTCCGAAAGACCGAGTTGATGTATGTGTTGGCATACTTTCTTTTAAAACGGGAAAGTTGTGATTTGTTATCCCTCTCCCCCATAGTGATTGAAGAGTCCAGTTTGGGGGATCAGAAATTAGAGGAACATTTTGCAGATTCTTTGTTTTCAGTGCTAGTGTTTAAACCTATCATATACATTTGCTTCTTGCTCTTTTGATGTTCTAAAAGACTATCCTGGTAG